GATGTTAGCCCACAGGGTTGACAAGAAAGACTGGCCGGTGTAGCGCTAGCTTTAGATATGTTTAGATGGAGTCATCACTTTGGTCAGCAGTACAAGAATATTCAAGAACTACTTATTTCTGTTATCCCAAATAGTTGTAATGGTAAATCTTGAATATTAATTTATATCAAATTAACTAACAGTGTATCATTTAAAGTGCATAGTTTTAAATGAAGTAAGAATAAACAAATCCTGTATATACCTATAACAACCTTTTTGATACCACAAAATTGCCATTTTTGAGTACATGATCTCATTAAATGCCTTCTTATTGGGAGTTTCTGTGTTAAACAAAGCAGTTTGATGTAAAATACTCAATGTTTGTGGTTGAAACAATGATTAAAGAGATATAACAAGTCCGTTCCTGTATGTAATTACAGTTTTCCATGGTGACTGTGTCATAAGACATACCCTGAAATCCAGAGTGACATCACTGAGCTGAAACTTCTTGTCTGAGTCAAATTGCAGGTAAACTGGATCAAGACCTGTGCAGAGAATTACAAATACAATTATCGACTTGGTAAATGAAAAACACATGTGTGCCTTACTATGGCCTGTAAATATACCACATATTATATTTTTTGGGATCATTTAAACTTTTCATTAATTGGAGTAGTAAATATAATCAGTTGCAGGAAACTATAGGAGGAATTGCATAAGGTACAAAGACTTCCAAAATGTTCAGTTTTATCACAAACTATATCAACTGGGTGATAGAGCTGGCCTCAATTGATTCGGTTCGTTTAGACTTAATAAAGCCAATAATCAATATTTAGGCAGTAATCCTTAACGCCTTTTTAACTCTTTGTTTGTTTGTTTATTGCACTATATAAAAACAACACAAATCTGATGCTGTATAGGTGAGCCATTTAGGTTGCATCAGTAGGTTTTGACACTAAGATGGTAGAGTTTTGAGATCTTGGTGCAGATGTAGCAGCTTTTAGTGCCCAAAGATCTGATAATAGATAAATTAAACATGCCATTCGAGGGGTTAATCAGTGTTGACATTATGTTAGGGCTGCCCATTCAGGGCAAGGTGGCAGTGTCTGTGTAAAAAGCACCCACAATTCACTGCTACAGGCAGCCCCCGGGTTACAAACATGTTAGGAACTATAGGTTTGTTTTTAAGTTGAATTTGTATGTAAGTTGGAACAGGTACATTTTTTAGGTGTAACTCCAGCCCAAAATGTTCTTAGTTTTGGATAGCATAGGGAATAGTTAACCCCCTGTAACATTTGTTTCGCTGCCCTCACAGGGGCTCTAATCCCACACCATACTAACCAAAACTAAAACAAAATAATTTGCATGCGCGAGCACGGTAGCATTACAACTAGTGTAACAGCCTGGGACCTCCGTTTGTAAGTAGGAGTCGTACGTAACTCGGATGTTCGTAACTCGGTGACTGCCTGTACTCACCTTGCCAGTACCCCCCCCCCCCCCCCCTCTTTCTCTTTCCATTGTCACGCTCTC